AAGGATAGACCCAGAGGAGGACAGAAAGAGGTAGAGCAGGAAGAAGAGATTGAATTCAACACACAACAAGGAATCTGCTCCTTCTCCTGGTGAGTGTACTGGTGAGGATGAACTGCAACTAGAAAGGACAAGAAGACATCAAGCAGCTTGAGTCACCAAGAGGCCACAGAAACACCCTGCGGGGATGCATAACCCACTCATGATCTGCTTTGTTTTAGGGTGTTTCTTATGGGTAAGTCACATCCCAGGTTCCTTCTTATGGGGTCTCTGCTCAGTTATGGAGTTGCCTTGGAAAGATGGAGGGTCCTTAGCAACTGACAGTCACAATAATATTGCTGATATCAGAAAGAACTGGACATATACAAAAGGCAGACATGCAGCAAAGAAGAATATTTGCTGCTATTCCAGAGACAGTAACACAGAGGTCAGGATACCCAAGGAAAAGGAATGAGAAGGGTAGGAGTGCCAGAGGGACAGAGTAGAATTCAAGTCAGAGTCTGTATAACATGAGGCAGGACATTTACACGTTCTTAATATTTGAGCATGGAGGAGGATCTACATTTGTGGCATGACATAGCTTGTGGTGGGGAACAGCAAATCTGTGGTGAGGGGGAAGGCAAGTTGGGGTCTGTGCTAGGAAGAGTGCTAAGCAGGATTTTAATGACTATGGGAAGTTAAGATATGAAACAATGCAGCTGACATCACAGTAACTTCAAATCTACAGCAGAATATATAATGGAAACAATTGAAGATAGATAACAGTAAGTCCTTACCAGAGGAGATTCAGACTGGTAATAGTTCAGGTGACAGAGATAAAAGTTGCATATGACAAAGACTTAATTCACTCTAGCTGTGTTTTGTTTGGTTTTCTCCTCCTAGTGCCCCCAGGTAAGCGGTGAGGAAGGTTGTCTCAACACTGAACTGTGAGTATTTGTTGATCTTGCACACTTTTAAGAAGGGTTATGACATGGTGGCTGACATCTTCCAGAAAAGCTTACTTTAATTGTGGCTATTGAAAACTCACATAAAATTTCTGTTCTTTTGAATTTGATATGTATTATTTACTATCTACTCAACATACTGATCATGTAGTACTCTTCCTGCTGCCTATTTGGATAACTGTAATGGTTAAGAGCTTTCTGGTGTAATTTTGATTGACAGAGATCATAAATTTGGAATTGAACTTTCCTTGAAAAATTATTTGAAATATTCTTCTTGGTGATGTCATTTGTAACAGTAACAGAAATCAAGATAAAACAAGTTAAAAAAATTGCCTAGGGGATTCTTTTTTGACTAAAAAAATGTCTTTAAAAACACACAGGCAGGTCTACTAACTAAAACTAAAGGAACATATGACACAGCATCCAAAATGTACCCACGGGGCCTGAAAGAAATCAAAGAGAAAGTCAGAAACAAACAAACAAAAAAAAAAAGGCAAAAGATAACAGGGTTGGGTAGGCTAAATTGTGAAAAAAAGTATATAAAAGAAGGGAAGTTCAGAAATTATAACATGATGCAGATCCCTAAGGTTTGCAAACAGATTGGGTAGGCACAAATATCACAAGAATAATTAAAAGATAAAGCCAAAAAGAAGGCAAACTCACCTAACAGAGATTGATGAGGATAGACAACTGTCTTCTCCATGAAGCATGGTGAGTTTCTCATCATTGTGCCATTTAGAAGCTGGAGTGTAATTGAGGAGCCTGAGGGGAGCTAGAAGAGAATACAGTAGTGATCTTCCCATTTATTTGGCATTCTGTGGCTAACTGTATGTTGTACCCCTTTCTCCTCAGCTGTTCAGGAACAGAGTGGGACCATTTGTGGTATATTTGGTAAGATGGCACATGTTTACTTTAAATATCTGCATCACTGGACAATTCTAGTAGCAAAGTCTGGGATTAAATGTGACCCCCTCAAGTGTGATGCCACCCCCACTTTCCCTTGGGACACTAGTGCTCTATAGTAGCAAGGCAACTCCTTAGCTATCACATCATATTTAACAAATGTTGACTTGCCAGCCTCCTTTTTTATTCCACCTATTAATTTAGTCAGGTGAACAATATTAATAAAGCATTCATGGCACAACATGCCTTTTAAAAGGCCCATTTTTAAAGCAATTTCAGTCTGATTCCTTAGTAATTCTCAACAGAGGAGATTAAAAAGGATGGTAGTTGTTGGACATCTACAAGGTTGCACTAATAAGAGTAGATGTCTGTAGATGTCTACTGCACTAATGCCAGTAGACTGAGACACACGAATTTTCCTCTCTGCTTGCCACTCATGAGGACACATCTGGAATATATAGTCCAGTCTTAGTCCAGTCTTGGCACCTCAGTACACAAGAGATGTTCACAAACTGGAGCAAGTCCACTGGAGAGCTGATAAAATGGTCAGGAGTCCAGAGGACATGATGTATGAGGAGGGGCTGAAAGGACCAGGTCTGTTGAGCCTGAAGGAGGCTAAGGGGGCAACCTAACTGCAGTTTTCCATGACCTATAGTGGATCTAGAGAGATCTCTAGATCTTCTCAGAAGTGCCCAGTAGAAGGACCTGAGATGACTGGCCAGGCTGCATCCAGGGAAATTCTAATTTGACAGAAGGAAAAAATTCTTCCCCCAAGGCTGGTGCAGAACTGGAACGGGTGTGTGGAAGGGACACAGGGTCTCCAACCTTGGAGACTGTTCAAACTCTGCTGGACAAGGCTTCAAATTACCGTGTCTAGCTTTGAGGTTAGCCCTATTTCAAGCAGGAAGAGAGCTCAAAAGCCCCCTGAAAAGAAACTCTGTCCTAATTCTGTGTCCTCTCCCTTTCCAGGCTGGTGCTTGTGATCGGTGGGCTGCTGCTCCTCTGTGGCCTGGTTTCCATCTGTGTGAGATGCTGTTTTCATTGCCATCAGACAGGGGAGGAATCAGGTCCTCAGCCCTACGAGGTCACTGTCATTGCTTTTGATCATGACAGCACCCTCCAGAGCACCATTACCTGTGAGTTGGCTTCGACAGAGGCTGGGGACCTCAGCACAGCCCAGTGTGAGGGGCTGCACTGTGAAAAGCCCAGATTGCAGCACCCCAAGGCTGACAGAGGGAAATTCATGGCAGGATGTGGGGAAAGCGGCATCTGTACATAGTACAAACTAAGGTGCTCACTAGGCTTCATGTAGAAAATGCAGCCAGATGGTAAATCAGCTGTGAGACACGTTTAGGTGGAATTAGGGCAGCTACGGGCCTCAGTGGCATTTGAGTTGTGGGTTGTTCACAAGGGTTTGTGGTGATTGACGAGGGGTAATGGTTTTAAGCTAGAAAAGGGTAGATTTTGGTTGCACATTAGGAAAAAGTTCTTTAATATGAGGCTGGTGGATCACTGGAACAGATTGCCCAGAGAGGTAGTGGAAGCCCTGTCCCTATTCATGGTCAGGCTTGATGGGCTCTGAGCAAACTGACCTAGTTAGAGATGTCCCTGCTTATTGTGGGGGGGTTGGACTAGATGACCTTTAGAGGTCCCTTCCAACCCCACACATTCTATGATTCTATGTTGCTGAGGGGGTTTCACACCCTTTTTAGGGAAGGCTGAAGGGGCAGGAAAAGGAAAACAGGCTGTGGGGAAAGAAAAGCCTGTGTGCTGCAGATATACTTGTCCTCCTCTAATCGCATGGTGCTTTCAGGATGAGGCAAACAGCTTTTTTCTCCTCCCTTTCAGCTCTCCATTCTGTGTTTGGGCCTGCTGCCAGGAGGATATTAGCGGTGGCACACTCCCACAATGCTGCACAGGGAACGCCACCCCTCTCAGCATCAGACACTCCTCCAGTCTACGAAGAAGCTCTGCGCATGAGCAGATTCACAGTTGCCAAGACGGGGCAGAAAGTGCCAGACCTGGATCCAGTGCCGGAGGAAAAGCCGCAGGCATTTGCTGAGGGCAAGGATGCCCAACCAGCCCTCCCAGGACACTAGTGCCTGTTTTTACTTAACAGCAAATAATAGAGAATAGTTACATACAGAGACTAATTCTTCTGAGCAGGGTTAGGAATATCAGATTAACCTCCCTGGTCTAATGAGAAAGGGGGAAAAAAAAGAGTAAAATAGTTTCAGATCCAGCATCTTTTGATGGCTCATTTTGACATCTCCTTGAGATAATTGACGATTTGCCCTCCCAATATCCATTTATTACACACACACACACACACATCACTAGTATCACGCTTTGCACAAACATGCAGGCAGCAGGATCAAAGTGCTGAGCCCCTTTGCAGGCTAGTGACCTGCAGGGAGATTGCAGATGCTGTCTCATTCTGCTTGCCTCCAGACTCAGTTTCCTGGGGATGGCAGAGAGGTTTTCACAACAGGAAAAACAAAGACATGCAAGAAGGTTTTAATACCTAATAATAGCAAACTTCTGGAAAGTGCCAACTATTTGTAGAAAATTTAAAAAAAAAAAAAAAAAAAAAAAAAAAGAGCTGGGTAGGACCACAAATTTCACAAAAGAACAAAAGACAGCATACATTGGTAGTTATGTGCAGTATGTGCCCTAAATGCCCTACAGGATATATAGAATGAAGAACATATTCAGTCTGGTTCTGAATAGAGTATATAGCAATTCTGAAATAGTAGTCACAAGCTCTTATATTCAAATTAAAAATCATGATGTATGTGCTAACAGATCAAACAAGGGGAGGAGCAAGGACACTAACCCTGAAATAAAGCTCAATCATATTTTAGTTGCATTTATATTGTATCATTTATTAATTGCTCCTAATTTGCTGTCAAAAGCAGATCAAATTAAATAAGACCATTTAAAATATTTAAGCCATTTCTCAAATAGAAATAATTTGTGAGTCTTGCCTGATTGATACAAATATGTTGATGGTTGGACTTGATGAACTCAGAGGTCTTTTCCAGCCTTAATGATCCTATGAGTCTATGATTCTATGTTGAATCATCCAAAAACATCAGTCAAACTGTTTGGATGAACACAGCTATGGACCACCTGTAAAGTGTTTTCTTGGACTAGGTATACATATGAAGGTAACTGTGGAATTGCATCAGTATTTTCTCTACCCCAGGTTCAGCAACTGAAATCAAGCAGAACGACAGCCAATATCAAATGATAAGCAGTCATGAATGATTTGCATGTATATGTTAATGTTGAAATGAAAAGTGTTTCTGAAGTAGCTGCATGGCCCTTTCTTCTGGAGTATCCAAATTCTTGCTGTTCTTAATATGCCAATCTTCACAACGCTCCTGCAAAAATACAGAAAATATGCTTATTTTGTGGATAAGGAGAACAAAGATCAGGTGCCCAAATATGTTTAGGAACCTAAGTGCTGTTTTGATTACAGCCATGGAGAATTTTAGAGAAGGTTGATAAGACAGCCTCAGGGATAGCATAAAGCAGAACTGAATGACCAAAACACCTTTGATGATGTCCCAGACCTTGTCCAGTCACGGGAATTCTGTATCCAAAGGAATTTAACAAGAGTCTTGATTTCCTAGGTCACAAACTTCTTCCTGAATTGCCTAGTTGTTACCTAACTACCATTAATGGGTGATGAACTGGAATGGAGTAAATAAATAAGTGATGTATAAGGTTATGTCTCTTCTGCTACACAGCACACCTGAAATAATAATAATAGCTGTCACAATCATAGAATCATAGAATCACAGAATCATAGAACAGTTTCGGTTGGAAGAGACCTTCATTATCATCGAGTCCAACCTTTCTCCTAGCCCTACCAACACCACTAAACCATGTCCCTAAGTACAACATCTACCCATCTCTTAAACACCTCCAGGGAGGTGACTCCACCACCTCCCTGGGCAGGCTGTTCCAATGCCTGACAACCCTTTCAGTAAAGAAATTCTTCCTAATATCCAGCCTGAACCTCCCCTGGTGCAGCTTAAGGCCATTTCCCCTTGTTCTATCGCTCGTTACTAGGGAGAACAGACTGACTCCCACCTCACTACAACTTTCTTTCAGGTAGAGAGCAATAAGGTCTCCCCT